GGGATGTTATTGATATTAGAAACCATGAGTAACTTGACATAAAACCCATTAAATTCTATTGTTGAAACAAAAAGTTCTAAATTTAGCAAAAAATGCCTGTCAGAAACCCATTGCCATGGCAACACAAAAATTATTATCTTTTTCCAATAATAGAGAATTGTTGCCAACAATATTCTAGGAAAAGTCACCAAGTTTGGCCGTTCTACGGCTAGCCGTTCAGACGCTAGGTGACATCAAAGTTGCCGCGGGCACTTTTAGCCCCCCCCCCTCCCCCGTTCTAGGTAGGGTTAACCCTAAACAGTACATCTAGGGTCCGCGCGTCTAACAATGTTTAGTGTAATTATTACGTTATATGACGTCAGAGCTAATAATGTGGTCCGCCATCTTGGATTTTGACCAATGACGTCATCAAATTAGCATATATTATGAACATTAAAAGATTAAACTTACCTTTGATTATGTAAGATGTTATTAATATCAGAAAGGAAGTGTTATTGAATATAAATCCCTGAAAATTTTAAAAGTTTAAACCAAAATTACTGATTAAAAAAAACTGCCTGTCAGAAACCCGTTGCCATGGCAACACAAAAAAATTCATTAACTAATTTAACTAATATGAATTTTTTTCCAGATGCATTTTAGGAAAGATCACCAAATTTGATGGCTCTAGCTCAAGCCGTTGAGGCGCTATTTGAGATTAAAATTAGCACGAGCCTCAAAAAACACTCGGTCTAAATAGGGTGTAAACATTCTTTTTTTTGCCAAAAAATAGGAAAAGGTCAGAATGTATGATTTTTGTACGTGATGTGGACTCAGATGTTCACACATCAATTTCCATAATAATTGAGCTGGTATCATGTTGATAATTTCTAAAAATTAGCAAAAAAAAATGTTCTGGGGTCCGCGTGGACCCCAGGTGTATAGATTAATCAGTCCGGGAAGGTGTACTGCTGGAGGTTAACAGAGCCGTATTATGGAAAAAATGCAGTACGTGTGACCTGAGATAGTTTTGGTGGTACAGGAGAACTTTTCAGAACGAACGTTTTTACTTGGCGAGAGCACGTGTGAAGAAGTCAAAATTTAATAACATTTCTATGTATCCGAACTTCATTTGTCTTGGCATCTAAGCATTAGATAGGCAGAATGTGATCACATTATCAGCACATGACGTTTAGATTTTTTGCACTTGTAAAACACTAACTTTTTTATCCCCAGATACGGCAAGAACGAGGTCCCGGACTGCATGACCGTTCAAGGCATATACGACACCGGTGTTGAATCCCACGCATTCAATTCAATGGAAGAATACAGGAGATATTTGGAGGAGAAATCAGCTGTTACTTCTGCAAAGGCCATGTTTCAGGAAGAAATCTATAAGGCTTCTGCATATAGTACAATCGGCAATCTTATTTGGGCAGTTGGAACAGGAGTCTCCACGCAGTATGGTGGATCCAAGCAGTCATCTGGGTCCCATGCCAGCTCCTCCGCTAGAGGTCGGCTGGGTGAAAAACAGACACAGAGATTCATGGCCATGCTAGAAATTAACATATTCAGGTAAAAACCTGATTTTTTAAAATTCAAAAAGTAAAAATAGTTTTGTTTTCGTTTATAGGACTATATAAAAAATGCGAATGAAAGCACATCTGCGTTGGTAGACCCATAGTTGCAAAGTTTCAGCTTAGTTTTTAAACAACAGGGAACTCACCGTTTGTTTGTTTGTGCCTTTATTCATACTCGATGATATATCATATTTACAATATATATATTACCCCATTCAGCCATGACGTGGGGGTCGATTTGGGAGGATAGTCAAGGGGTCAAAATAATAATAATAAATTGATAATTATAATAATAGTACAAACACTTGTCGAGTTAAGAAAAAAAAATAATACAAAGCATAAGTAAATAAATACATAAATAAATAAATAAATAAAGAACCAACCGTACATTTTCGGTCGAGCTCGTCAACCTTCATCTGATGTATGATGTAATCACTGACTTTTAGGGAGTCGGAGGAGTGATGGTGGTCATGAGTGCATCAAAAGTGGCGGGAAGACGGAATATACCACCGTCATTATCTACTGACGTCATGGGCTTTGATGCCCTCCTGGTGTCATGGGCTCTGCCTCTAATGAAAATCGCCTCCTTTTACTCCTGTCACAAAGTAGTCCTTCTCCATGTACATTATCCCTACCTTAGGGCACAACGAGTAATTTTATGGATGACATCGCGCGCGCATTGATTTTCGAATTTGCCTAATTTTGAAAAAAAGGAGAAATTTTGTTGCCCTCTGACAGTGGTCTATATGACTAAAATGTGCAAAGCACTTGTTCTCATTCAGATGTACAAAATGCTTTTGCCGCTCTTTAAGACTAGATATGAATCAAATTATGGACCTGCATTATCGGCTTATTCACTTTGCTACTTTACTACTATAATGTTTCACGAAAAATGTATCACAACACTCGGTTTGATTGATGACTTGGAAGAAATTTTGACCGCGGGTTGGATATCTCCCCCTGAAAAGCGACTGTCGCATGAGAAAGACTGAAAACCTTTAAAAGCGGTCTAAAACGTAGAAATTTACTTACGGCAAAAAGTTGTGGCTGTTGAAACCGGATAGCCAAGCCCTTATACTGATCAAGTCGGATTGCTTCTGTCACTATTCTTGTACGTCGACAAGAGAAAGGAGTGTTTGCCGCCCTTGCTGAACAAAATGGTTTACATTAATTACTGTAACCTCAGTTACCGTTGTTTATTATCTTCAATGTCAGTTACTTCACCTAAT